GCGCACACACACACACACACACACACACACACACACACACACAGAATGTATTATTCAATCAGGAAGGCTGAAGTATTCGTATGCCTCTGAGAACGGTACCCTGTCCTCAATGTAACCTTTCAACATCATCTTTCGATCTTTGGCTGCCAGGAGGCATGGCGGCGAAAGGGCGAGAAGAAAAGGTACATCCAAAGCTCGATCGAAATACAGGCCCATGGAGAAAAACTTCATCACTCAGAATGACTGTTAGAGTGTTCCCTTTGTACACAACGATCAACATGTGGGAACTTCGGAACTAGGAGTGGAAGGAGACAGGCTTCACTGGTGTGCAACTTTGCACTCAACAAAAACTGTTGACCCAGCCGTTAAGCGCGCGGCAAGGTGCCACGCAGTCTGAGTTTACGTGGAGTCCAAGCTTGGGGGTTGTGTGACAATTGTACACCGTTAGATCACGGATAACAGGTAATAAAGAGGAACTCGTTCAGTTCCGCAAAAGCCTAGTCAACGACGAGGTGATTATGATTCTTTACCAATTTGAAAGCGTTATTCAAGGGCGGACTGAGTCACTGAGCCATTGACCAACAGTGGCAAAAGTCAGAGAAGCGGCGCAGTCTATTGTGACCGTTGTCTGGTGCGATTACGATCGACACCCGGATTGCAAATGTGTGTGTGTGTGTGTGTGTGTGTGTGTCTAACGTAGATAGGTATTTATAACCACGCTTTCGGCACGATCCTGCAAGGATACCTATGTAACCACACCGCTGGAAAGACCCTGCAACTTTTGCAAGGAATCGAACCGACAATCTCGAGCTAAGCAGAAGCAGAAGCAGAAGCAAAACATCCGTGGTGAAAACGGTGCCAAGAAAAGGTCATGAAGGATAACCTAACTACTGTTCGTTCATCGTATTAACAGGATGTATTATGAATTAATATGAAGAACTTGGGAAGATGCATCGGAGATTGTCGGATTTTTAATTCTTCGTCTTTCACCCCTCAGCTATGAGTCCGGGACTGCTCGGCATTGGCATTCTATGAACATATATAACTCGACAACGATCGATCGATGCACACAAACCGTCGAGAAAGGAGGGGAGGAGAGAAAGGAGGGGAGGGGAGAAAGGAAGGGAGGGGAGAAAAGACCGTCCATCCAGAGACGGGAGTTAGAAGGCCGGGCAAAAAAGACGTCGTTCGGCAGTCTCTGGGGCAGTGGGGCACTCAAAATAATTTAGTGCCCTTACCGGATCTGTCTGCCGGATCAGGAGGGATGTAAGGAGAGGAGAGGAGCGGAGAACCATTCTGGGAGACGCAGATCAATGAGTTCAGATGATGAAGAACTGTTCGAGTGCTTGAACGATATGATGACACTGGACTGTGATGAGAAGCTCGGACGCACCACAAAGTCACAGACAACAAGGGTGCGTACTTCGTGGCTGGGCAGAAAAGGTCGTGCACATACCATACCCGCTCGGCCACACGGCCCGGTCCTTGTGTTTGTGGGGGTGGGGGTGGGGGTGTCCTCGTATTTGTGTTTGTGGTGGTGGTGGTGATATCACTAATATGCACTTCCGCTCGCAGAGATGATCGATCACGAATCGGTGGGAGACAGGCCGGTCAGGAGTGATGTGAAGTCGAAGAGTCCGAAGACAACAGAGGTGTTGTTCGGTAATAGGAGGAGATGTGCAGTGAGGCAGAAAAGAGGGAGCAGTAGTCAGGGTGCTTCCGAATGACGGCCCATTCAAAAGCCCCATACCTGCGGAACATTCTCTACAAACCAAGAGGAGTTTGGTGGAAATCGTGGAAGACATTGGCGTTCGGTACATAGACGGTCCGGATTCCATGTTG